GTAATGAAAGTCTGCAACAAAACAGACAATCTCAGAGAGCACCGAGAAAAAATATTTATAATAATTAATACTATTAAATTGATACGCTGCCTGACTCCTAACGCCTCTGGGTGGCTTTATTTATAAAATAAAACCGTTCCAAAGTTGAGACCTCACCACCATTGGAGATTTGAGACTGTTCAATAAATATCTCACACAAGGCAAGGCTCAGAATATGTTGCAGCTTTTAATTTTGCTGCTTTGGGCATTAAGGTTTTTTTATTTTTAATTCTTTATTTTGTTTTACACGGAATCTATATACCACCAAGAGCTGAGGCATAACAAACCTTTTTGTATTCTCGTCACACTTAACTTATTATTTTTTTTTTAGTTTTTGGCGTTTGTCGATGCTCTCTTTTCATTGCTGTTTTCTGATCTCATTCAGAGTGATTTTCATAGTTTATTGTTAATAAATCAGAAGGAACGGGGCTGTTTGTTTGGATATTGTTGGATTTGGTTCCCTAATAGCAATTTTTTTATTTTCACGAGTGCGGTTGGTTCCGTGCCCAGCTTTGTGTTTCAGTATTATTCAATTATATCTTTCGGAATATGTACACCCTGACTTTCCGCGCTAAAGCACTCGGATGGCTTCTGCTGCACAAAACACCAGAGCCTGGAATATTTAAAAAGTCATCCCGACGTTTTTGGGTCAGGAATGGAGATCTTAGGTTTTTCTTCTCCAGAATCAACCTTGGAGAGAAGAAACAGTGGGAACCTCCATTTGTCTTTCCTATTTACCTCTGGATACAGAATAACACAGTTGGAAGGGACCTTAGAGATCTTCCAGTCCAACCCCCTGCTCAAGCAGGAGACCCTATACCAGGGGTAGGCAACCTTGGCCCCCTCATGACTCATAGACTTCAACTCCCAGAATTCCTGAGCCAGTATGGCTCAGCTTGGAAACCTCTCCCTTTTCCCTCAGCATGGCTGGCTGAGGAATTCTGGGGGTTGAAGTCCACGAGTCATAAAAGAGCCAAGGTTGCCTACCCCTGCCCTATACCATTTCAGACAAATGGTTGTCCAATCTGTTTTTAAATACGGGTGTTTTTTTTTTAAAGGACAAAAAAATTTCATTTTAGAAATATGAATAGAAAAACACCACCAATTTCCTGGGGGTGGGGGTGGGGTAACAGCATAAAAGTTCAACCATAATGTTCACCTATAATTGCAAGCCCTTTGTGGACTGTTTGCAGGAGATGGAGAAAAATCAAAATTTTGGCTTGTAGATTTGATGACGGTTAAAAAAAATTAAAAAATTATGTTCCTCCATTTTTGGCAGCTGGAGTGGGGGGGATGACCCCGTGACACCGCAACCATTATAGATTTAGTGGTTAGCAGCATCAGGTTTCTGGGTGTGCAGCTAACGAGTAGGCTGGCTTGGTCACTCAACAGCCAGATCCTGGTGAAGCGGGCACAGCAGCACCTGCATTTTCTGCATCGCATGAGAAAAGCACATCTTCCTTCTCCTGTCCTAACCACTTTCTACAGAGGGACGACTGAGAGCATCCTGATATACAGCATCACAGTCTGGTTTAGAAGCATCCCTGTTTTGGACAGGGAGGCGGTGCAGAGAGTGGTGAGGACAGCAGAAAAAATTATAGACAATTCTCTCCCTCCTATCCAGGATGTGGCATATAAGTGTTGCTTGAGCAGGGTCTGCAAGATTGTCTGGGACGCTACACATCCTCTTCACGACCTGATTTGTTACTTTTGGGGAGGGGGCTTTGTGGTATCCGAAGTAGAACATCCAGATTCAGCCACACTTTTGTTCCATATAGCATCAACCTTGTAAACTCTCAAATTTCCTCTTTCCGCTATGTATTCAAGATGGACAGTAATTAATATTTGTGTGTGTGTGTGTGTGTGTGTGTGTGATGTATGTGTATAGGTAAGATATATACTTTCCTTTGAGAGCAAGCAACAGAATTTCATTTTTAATGTGGGCCAGTGTGCTCACAATAAAAACATGACAATAAAGGTTATCTTATCTTAAATCTCAACCGGTTGCCAAGAGTCTGACTTTTGATCACATGACCATGGGGATGCTGCAACCTTCATAAGTCTGAAAAACAGCCATAAGTCAGTTTTTTCAGTGCTGTTGTAACTTTGGACAATCACTAAATGAACTGTTGTTAGTTGACGACTACATGTAGTCTCAAACTACGACTCAAAGGTTAGTGTTCTTTGCATCCTCCAAAGGAGTAGTCAGAAGTCATTCTTGGTATAGATTTGTGTTTTCCTTTCTTTTTCTTTATACCTTTTTACGCTTCCATCGTTTCTTTTTACTCTTTATTCTTTCTCTTGATTGTTAGTTTATGTTGTTTTTTGTGTGTGTAATGCTTCGTAAAATGCAATAAAGTTATTTGAAAAAAAAAGAAAAGTTCACCCATTGGACTCTTTTGAAAAGCTGACATTATCTTTACTTGTCCTAAGGCAACAACTATCCTCCATGGAGCTATCCAAGGTCCTGAAACTTTTCTGCTTGCCAGCCAAACCCAAAAGTTTTATCTTTCATGTCTTTCCCGTAATTAGCTGTGCTCATAGAACCAGAATCAACTATAAAAAGTCCAACATTTGGCATCTACTCATCCTAGGCAAACAGCATCGAGTTGGTTTTATCTCACGTCCTTCTCATTTCTCAAAATAACGATGCTGCACTCTGACTAGATCCCAAGGGGCCAAGCACAACGTGCTTTCCAAAGGTGTCTCTAACACTGCACCATCTGTACACCCGACAGTAAAAATTAACCACTATTGCAGCTATATAAAGAGGCCTGCCTGCGCGTGTGCTTTGAATGAAAGAAGGCTACCCCTTCTGCACTTAAACACAGAGATCGTGGAAGGAAAATTGGAAACCTGTGGAACTCTGTAAGAATTAGAGGCCTGGAAATTATAGATGGGCCAACTGACTGAGAAATTTCACTCCATGGAGATGCCTTGCTCCAGGCTGACATAGCAAAGCACAGAGCCGAGATGCTCTATAGCCAGTCCAGTTTAATGTGTCGCTCCCTTTGCTAAGGGTAGCCTTGCCTATTTACTACACACAAACTACTCTTGGTGAAGAGGAGTGGCAATCCCGCTCTGCTCTGAAAAGGAGCATGGGGGCATTGCTTCAAGGCTCATTTTCCCTCTGAAGCCCAAGTTCTGCATACTTCTAGTAGCAACCCCGGCCACAGCATCACCTGGCATGACAAATATAATGGAATGTAATAATCTGGATTCCCAGGAAAGATGGGATAAATAGAATGGGATGGGATGGGATGGGATGGGAGGGGGAGGGGAGGGGAGGGGAGGGGAGGAGAGGAGAGGAGAGGAGAGGAGAGGAGAGGAGAGGAGAGAAGAGAAGAGAAGAGAAGAGAAGAGAAGAGAAGAGAAGAGAAGAGAAGAGAAGAGAAGAGAAGAGAAGAGAAGAGAAGAGAGCTTTATTTGGCCAAGTGTGATTAGATACACAAAGAATTTGTCTTTGGTGCAGAAGCTCTCAGTGTACATTCAAAGCAACAGAGTACTAATAATCATAATAATGATACCTATAAGAAGGTGTAGTAGAAAAGATGAGAAGGATAATAATATTACTACAGCCAGACAACAGGAGTGAACATGTTGTATCATAGGTGAGCATGTATAGGAACAAGAGACAACTCCATTTAGAGAGATTTTGTGAGAGGAAGAGGGTGAAGACAGCCTAATAGTTCCCAGACGTCATGTGGATAGTAATCTGCTTTAATTTGGCAAGATTCTGTCTATATGTAGAATAATTCTTCTGCTTAGAAGAATCACCATGTATCATTCTTGGTTTGGGGAGTTGACAACAGGAACTTAAATTAGTCCCTTGAACCGAAATTTGAAATTGCCTGTCTATGAAACACAGACCCTAACACCAAGTTATGGACTTCATGGTATAGGTTCTCCTGCTTGAGTAAGGGGCTGGACTAGAAGACCTCCAAGGTCCCTTTCAGCTCTATTCTATCCTATTCATCCTAAATATATACCAGCTCAAATACCAAGAGATTAGAATGTTCCTCCTGCCAGTAGCTAAATATTGCAAATTGATGATCCAGTCCAATCCAAATCTAGACCCAAAGGCATGGTGGCCATTATGTACAATGTTGTGTTACACACCAAAGAGATGCCACCGTGCTATCCCCTTGGTCAAACAGACATTTTGCAAAACACATCGAACCAAAACCAGAAACATAAAATAATTTTAACATTTGCAGAGGAGATCTGCAAAAAAAAAAAAAGTGTGGGAATGAGAAGTAATTATCATAGCATCAACCGTAGAATTGTAGAATCATAATACCATAGGGTTGGAAGGGACCTTTGAGGTCTTCTAGTCTAACCCTCTGCACTCAAGGCAGGAAACTTTATACCATCTTGGAGAATGATCATGGAATCAGTCATAGAATTATAGACTCCATCACAGAATCATAGATTCAATCACAGAATCATAGAACCATAGGGCAGGTAGGGACCTTAGAGCTATCCTACCCTAGCTCAAGGCAGGAGACCTTATACCAGTGGTTCTCAACCTTTTTAATGCCGCGACCCCCAACCGGTCGTAGGTCGAGGACTACTCAACCGGTCGTAAGTTGAGAACTACTCAACTGGTGCAGCACCATTTGCAGAATGGGACTTTTGGCGGGCTCAGCAGGGCAGAGACAGCCTGGACAATTCCTATTGGCTTTGGAAAGCCAATAGAATTAGACTCTATTCAAGAGAGTCTATTCTATTGGCTTTCAAAAGCCAATAGAATAAAAGGGAGTAGCACAGCTAAGGAAAAGGGGGAAAAAATGGCGGACTGCGTTGTTTGGCGACCCCTGTGAAATGGTCGTTCGACCCCAAATGGGGTCCCGACCCACAGGTTGAGAACCACTGCCTTATACAATTCTGGACAAATCTACTTTATTATCTACTCTATCAGTCTACTCTACTCTATTATCTGAAAGATGACGTTGCTTTACCTCAATGTGAATTGGTCCTCGGTTGAGTTTTTAGCCGTGGACACCATGAAAGTCAATACTTCTCCTTGCTTCAGCGTCTTTGGTATGTACTGAAGGACAACGTTACCGTCCAGCCACAGTTCACTTAAGGGAGGGCTACCCTGCGCCTGGTAGAGAAAAACACTTCCAATCCTTTGCAGGGGTGGCCCCGATTCATCAATGTCGTTGCGTGCAGGTCTGATTCCGTTGTTCTTTCTAGAGTCCTCCTTGGTACAATCCCCGTTCTCGTCTTGAATGGCGTAGTATAATTCCACTTGACTCCCTTCTGACTGGTTGAAAAACTTCTTCCGGCCAGCCAGCATGGTGGGAGGGTTAAACCAGCTGGGAAGTAGGTCTAGCTCAGCCATGCAAAACCCCAGACTGTCTGCCAGCCTGCAGGTGGCCCGGACTTCTCTCGTCTCCCAAAAAGCAAAGACTCTCAAACAAGGCAACCGCTCCGAGCGGCTGTACTCATCCCAATCTCTCCCAACGATGTAGAAGAGGATCTGGACTTTGGGTCTGCTTGGATAAACCTTGTGGTTCAAGATGTAGGCCTTCAACTTCCAGTTGAACGACATCCTGGGGACGGAGGATCTGAACGGGTTCGAAGAAGACAGCAGGTCCTGGGGTACCGCTTGCTCGATTGAAAAAGGTCCGTAGGTTGCATTTAAGGTGGGCGGCCTCTTGGCTTTATAGATGAGGAACGATTCCACCCGGGACTGAAGGCTAGAGTTCCTCATGATGTCTTGGTTGGCTTCTTTGAGGAAGAACGAGATGTCCGCGTTGCGAAGATGGTAACTCACCGGAAGATACGTTGGCAGCAAGGAGAATTTTTGAACGCTTTCCAGAACCCCTCGGCTTTCGGAGACTACAAAAAGGAAAGAGAGAGAGATTAGACTGTAGGCTTCAGAAGCTCAAAAGGTCAAGAGAAGCCCGCTGGCCACCCTCTAGAAAAGGTCTATCCCAGCTCCTTCGGCCTGTGCCTTCTTTTTGCTGGGTTCACAAAGCAGGATTAGCCAAAGTAGGGGAAGGAATTGCAGTGTTGAGACGTGCTAAGCTGGATGAGTTTGTTGCGGCTTAGCATCTTGCAGCGACGCAACATGTTAGGTTTAATTCACGGCTCAGTGGATTCTAAAAACACAGAATAATTCCATAACCCAGTTAAGCCCAGCCAGGGTGTAACAGATTCATATCTCTACCTCATTAGACTAGTCAAAGATCGGCCTCTGAAATCGTTTCCAATTACTGCAGAGCTAATTAGATTGATTCCCAGACTCAGTGCGTGGTAGATGTTTATGCTTGGAGTGCCAATTTCCCTAAGCCCCAGCCAACAAGGGTAGAGGATGATGGGAATCACAGACCAAGAGCTAAAACCCTCCTACCATTCCCCCTTACTAATACAGGCAGTCCTCAACTTATGACCACAATTTATGTTGCCAATTGAGACACTTCTTAAGTGAGCTTTGCCCCATTTTACCACCTCCATACCACCACTTAGTACCGGGTCTACTAACTCCATGCTCCTAAAACATCACATACAGATGGTCCACAACATATAACCTTAAGAAGATATTGGATTTGTTTAAAATGGTATAGGGTCTGGCTGGACTAGAATAGAGCTGGGACCTTGGAGGTCTTCTAGTCCAGCCCCCCGCTCAAGCAGGAGAACCTATATCATCTCAGACAGGTGAATGTCCAGTCTCTTCTTAAAAATCTCCAGTGATGGAGCACCCATGATTTCTGGAGGCAAGCTGTTCCACTGGTTAATTGTCCTCACTGTTGGGAAGTTTCTCCTTAATTCCAGGTTGCTTCTCTCTTTGATCAGTTTCCAACCATTGTTTCTTGTCCTGCCCTCTGGTGCTTTGGAGAATAGTTTGACTCCCCTCTTCTTTGTGGCAACCCCTCAAATACTGGAACACTGCTATCATGTCACCCCTATTTCTTCTTTTCTTTAGACTAGCCAACCCCAAGTCCCATAGCCGTAGACTAGAACAGCAGTCTCCAGTATTTGTGGCTTGGTGACCTGACTGGTGGAGGGGAAGGAGAGAAGGGAACTGGGCCACGTGAGTGGTGGGCCGATGTGCACGTGCGCAGCTCAGTTTGCACAAGCGGTGGGCCAGCGTGCACGCGTGCAAGTGCCCGCCAGCCTGCCGCTCACGCAAATCGAGTTGCGCGCACATGCACGAATGCGCTGGCCCGATGTTGAATAGGTCACAGCCCGGTACTGGGTGACAACCAGGGATTTGGGGACCCCTGGAGTAGAAGACCCCCCCCCCAAGGTCCCTTCTAACTCTGTTATTCTGTTACATCTGGTGGTATCTAGAAATTCGGCAAAGAGCAATGGATGCTTTGCAGTCCTCGAGACATTTGGGAAGGGAAGGAGAGAATGTAGATGCATTCCAGAAATAAAGCAGGACTCCAGTTATACAATCCAGGGAGGGGGCAGGGGAGAAGGAAAAAAAAATCTGCATTTCAAAAAAGACACAGGGGTTTGGGGGGGGGGGAAACAAGCCCAGCCATTTCAAAAGCATGCCTTCCCCGTTTTTTTATGTCGCTTCTCTGTGCCGCCAGTTGCGTTTATGGCATCCCTTTGTGGTGCCTTTACGACTGTGTTTTAAAGGCATGCATAATTAAAGGCCAACACAACTGCAGAAAGACCAGCTGATGGATTCTTGGCACGCCACACGTACATACCAACCCTTGTCTGCAGAAAACTGCAGCTCAGCTTCAGCCAGGAGGGGGCAAAGAAGAGAACAGGTTTTTGGCCACAGGCAAGAAAAGTAAATTGGGGGGGTGGGTGGGGGAGGGAAGAAAGTGAAGGGCATAACTTGGGGCTCAGAATGTTGACTTACGTCAAGGGTCATGACTCAAAGAAGCTGCGTGGCCATGCCTGCTTCTACAGACAGTAATAGTATCCATACCACAGAGAGTTGGAAGGGACCTTGGAGGTCTTCTAGTCCAACCCCCTGCTCACGCAGGAGAGCCAGAACCATTTCAGTAAGTTTTGTAGAAATTCACAGATCTTTCCCGAGACTCCATGGGTGTGCTTTGTGGTGTGTTTGTGGCGATGAGAAAAACAAGCAGAGTTTGCATTTAGAACATAGACTAATTGGGATGGAAGGGACCTTGAGGTCTTCTAGTCCAACCCCCTGAGATGCTCCAAACCATCTTATCAATTAGGATATTTCTACTTAAAATAACAGAATAACGGAATTGGAAGGGACCTTGGAGGTCATCTAGTCCAACCCCCTGATCACGCAGGAAACCCCATGCCATTCCAGACAAATGGCTGTCCAATCTCTCCTTCAAGGACTTCAAGGAATGTTTGCTGGTTTTCAGCCATTTTTCCTGTTTTCTGGGGGGGGGGAACACCCATTCAAATTTATTAATTAGTGTTAAGTTTATACGCCGCCCATCTCACCATGCAGAGTGACCCCACTTTGCATCTTAAGAAGACAGAACTCTTGGAATATTTCTTCCAACAGGCATCCTTTCTTTAAGAGAAAATGGTTGCAGGTGTTTTAGACAGGACCTGGGGCCCAAGCCCTACGGTTCAAGGTTTTAAGGGATCCCCAGCAGCCCCACCCCACCATCTTTCCAGCGACAATCCCAGGCATTACATTTCCACCCCCTTTTTCCTCACTGCTGGCTGGAGGGAGACTTCAGAGAGGAGTAGATGAAAGCTGATGGCCCCTTTGTTATGGTTAGTCCTTTTGGTGGTATCCACATCCAGTCCCTTTGAAGATGTACCAAAGGACGTGAGGGCCATAAAACCCCTTTGTTCACCCCCCTTTTCCTTCATCATATGACAGAATCCAGAGAGGGCTGAAATGGGGTTTTCCATAGTCAATCACTAGAGATGAAATATAATTGGATTCTGATTAACAATCATCGAACCCATACGAAAAATGACACAAAATGCTGGTCACCTGTTTGTCTTGACTCACAGATGTAATACCAGGCTCAGTGATGGCCTACTTGTAATAAGGGGGAACTAGCCAGGAAATCCTGAACCAGGGGCGGACCAGCAAAATCAAAACACCGGCATCCAAATTTGTGGAATGCCAGGACAAGACTTCCAATGTGCGTGCGTGCGTTTGTGATGTGAATTCTACAGTTCAGATTGTGTCCTTCACTTAATGCCCAGTTTTTCTCCCTTCTCTTTGTCAAAAACACCACGGTTCAGCAGACCCAGGGCTCTGAAGGTAAGGAATAGGGAAAAGAGGGAATAATCCCAAACATTTAACCATTCGGCTGGCTTGATTTATTAATCAGGGCACCATCTTTATCAATCCCTAGCTGCTGCTTGGAATCCCTCGGTTTCTCTGTTCAGATTTCAAAAGAGATGGGATGAATGGAATCAAACCGAATACTTTAATTGGCCAAGTGTGATTAGACACACAAGGAAGTTGTCTCCAGAGCCGAAGCTCTCGGTGATGCAAAGCAACAGAATAGTGATAAATTATCATAATAACACTAATAAGAGGGGGGAATGAAGAAGATGGAAAAAGAGAGAGAGAGAGAGAGAGAGAGAGAGAGAGAGAGAAAGAGAGAACGAGAAAGAAAGAGAGAAAGAGAGAGAAAGAAAGAGAGAAAGAGAAAGAGAAAGAAAGAGAAAGAGAGAGCAAAAGAAAGAAAAAGAGAGAGAGAAAGAGAAAGAGAAAGAGAGAGATCAAGAGAAAGAAAAAGAGAAAAAGAGAGAAAGAAAGAGAGAAAGAGAAAAAGAAAGAAAGAGAAAGAAAGAGAGAGCGAAAGAAAGAGAGAGAGAGAGAGAGAGAGAGGTCATATTTTCCCACTTTTGAATCACTTGAATTGAACATTTAGTCAGATTCTTCCTGGGGATTGTGTGCAAAAATTCATTCCATTCCTTTATTCAGAATGCCACCGCTCTTTCAGCCAGCTTGTAAATGTAAAAGTAGGCTTTAGTTAACTTAGCAACAGATATATAGGAGGAACAGTGCTGGGTGTATCTGTGTGTATGTGTGTATGTGTGTGTGTCTCCAAACACACAGAGGCAGCGCAAAGGCGATTGGGTAGAACAGCTTGGGTTTCTTCTGCGAACGGAGAGGAGGAAACGCTGTGTGCTGAATTTTAAGCGGTCGGGAGCTGACAGCTGCTTATCCAAACAGCCAAAAAGTCAGCATTTTCAAAGAGTTGTTTTGCACTTGAGCTAGAAAAGACGGGCGTTCCAGACACAAAAACTTATTTAACGGCAACATTCCTTCAATTTAGAGTTCTGTCTGGATTGGGGTTGGTAGATCTTAGAAATTTATTCCCCCCAGAAAAGCTGATGGCATGTCGTTGGTGCTGCTGGGTCTGACGGAGAGTTTGTGTTGCAACAAGCATTATATGGTTTTTTTGGAAAAATGCCTATCTGTATTCCTAGTCCAGGGGTCTTCAAACGTGGCCCTTTGATGACTTGTGGACTTCAACTCCCAGAATTCCTCAGCACGCCTGGCTGAGGAATTCTGGGAGCTGAAGTCCACAAGTCATCAAAGGGCCAAGTTGGAAGACCCATGGACTAGTCTGATGAAGATAAGGGTCTAGGGGTGACGTGATAGCAGTCTTCCAATATCTCAGGGGCTGCCCCAAAGAAGAGGGAGTCAAGCTATTCTCCAAAGCACCTGAAGGCAGGACAAGAAGCAAGGGATGGAAACTAATCAAGGAGAGACCCAACCTAGAATTAAGGAGAAATTTCCTTACAAGACAGGACAATGAATCAGTAGGATGGTTTCCTTCCAGAAGTTATGGGTGCTCCATCACTGGAGGTCTTCAAGAAGAGACTGGACAGCCATTTGTCTGGAATGATATAGGGTCTCCTGCTTGAGCAGGGGGTTGGACTAGAAGATCTCCAAGGTCCAACGGTGT